CACACACACACACACACACACACACACACACACACACACACACACACACAAACGCACACCATCTTCCTCTCAGCTGTAATGTCCTTGAGGGCCTGCTGAAGCTCCCATAAAGCCTGCAGTAAATGGCTCTAATCCGGTAATAAATGGCTGTGTCCTACAGACAAGGGTGTGAAGCTGCAGCAGCCGTGGGTTTTATCAGATGGAATGGTGTTGCCACACAAACACACACGAGAAAACACGCAAACATCCACAAACGTAATGGAAGACCCCCACCACACACACATTCACTTATGCACTCTCAGATTGAATCGCACCTTCTCAGATCGTGCCGCTTCCATAGACGCCGTGCCAAGAGCAGCGCCATTATTGCCTTTAAATGATTAGAGATGCGACTCTGATGCATTATGATGATGGGCTCACATGGAACTGTTGCGCTGCTCATTATGCCCGCTGAGGGGAAAGACTGTAACTGGATGAAGGCGCCGACATTAGGAGGAATAGTAATGTGACCTTTTGGAGGGAGTTGGTCTTCACCTGTTTTTAATCAGCAACCAGAATTGCATTTTATCTCTCCCAGCTTTATTTGTGTACCCCTGTAGTGGTGTGGTCCTCCGAGGCTGGACTGTGCGAGTGTGTAGGGAAAAAAAGAAAGAAAAAAAAAACAGTGGGGGATGTCTTACAACCTCCACATTCCTTGTTGAGTTGTAACCCAGAGCAGCACTTTCATTTTCCTGTCATAACAGATATTGATTTTTTTTTCCTGTGTGTGCTGTACTCGCTCACGTGTAGTTATTTGTGCTCTCAGCATCAGGTTTTGATCGGTGTGTGCGCTCCTCTTCAGGTGGAGCTGACCGGCAGCAGCGTGTTTGACTACATCCACCCAGCGGACCACGTGGAGATGGCCGAGCGACTGGGCATCAAGCCTCATCTGCGGGCCGAGGCCGGCTGCCACACGGCCCCCGACAGCGCTTCCAGCACCGCTTCCACTTCCTCGCTTGCCGGTACCCCTGAACCTGGTACTTTCTTTTCCTCATTATAAGCAATTGCTAACTTTATTAACTCCAAATGTCACAACAAAACAAAAAAATTTTCTAAATATACACATATAAAATCTTTTTGTCTTCCACATCAGCTCCCTCTAGTCCCCACTCTCCAACTGATGAACCTCCAGAACGTGGTTTCTTCATTCGCATGAAGTCCACACTCACTAAACGAGGCCTACATGTCAAGTCTTCTGGATATAAGGTATCTGAGAAAAAAAATGTAATTTGATCATAGGGTACTGTGCAAAGATCACGAGTTATGCCATTGTTTCTTTATATTTTGCTTCCAAGAAGCCAAGCATTCATTCTTAAAAATAGTTTTGATTAGCAGTTTTTGGGGTCTTTTATTCCTTTTTATGTCTGTGACTCATAAAGGTCAGTGTCTTTACATTATAAACACACACACACACACACACTCACACACGTTTGCAAAGCTATCCATTTGGGGACATTCCATTGACTTCCATTGCATTTCTACAGCCTAACCCTGACCACCAACCCTAAGGCTAACCTCACAGGTACCTACCTGACCCTAAAACTAACCTAAACTCAATTCACACCTTGGTCCTAAACCCAACTCCCAACCCACCAAACGGGGACTCGACTTTTGTCCCCAAATGTACGCGTTTTGTCTTAAAATTGCCCCCAAATGTCACCAGAAACAAACCCACACACACACACCTAAACACACATTTTAAATAATTTAAGAAAAAAACTATCAAGAACATTAAGGCCCTGTCACACTATGATGTTTTAAACAACTTATGCCAACTAATGAAATGTTTGCAGACGTCTACGTTGACAGTGGAATTACAAAAAATCAACCRGAAGCCTGCTGTAGACGAGCAGATACTGTAACGCTAATAAATTGATCAAATATCTAACTTTTATTAGTAATTTAGTGGAAATTTTGTTTTCATAAGCTGGCATAAGTTGTCTAAAACATTATAGTGTGACAGGGCCTTTTATAAAACATTATAAGAATATCAAACTGACTCAAGGTAAAGTTTGGGAAAATTACGGTTGGGACAAAATCTTTTGCAGTGTTGTATATCTTAAAGTAGACATATTCTTTTAAATCCTTCTTTTTCTCATTTAAATCAAATTCAGTTGGGGTCTATATAAAGTGGAACTGCAATGCTTTGGTCTGAATTCCTCCTTATTATAACGCCACAAACCCCTCTTTCACCCTTTTTCTGAGGTGTGTCTCAGATCAACTCGTTTTGAGGCTGTCTCTTTAAATATGAACGAGCCCAGCTTCCAGACCGGTCCATTCTAGTTTGCTAGAGGGGTTTATGACTATGTAGCGGCGCACAGATATTTTATTTATAAATTAATTAAAAGATGTCAACAAGGGAAGACTTGTCTATCCAGCCTCACATATTGGAGCAACATGAAACATCATAGAAAATAGAAAAGAAACTGAACGGGTTGAAAAATAAGACCCAAACAGGATATTAAGATATCTACGCAGCACAAGTAGGGACTAAATTAAACTTTTCTGCTCTCCAAATTCACAACAAAATGTATTTAACAGCTAAAAAAGTGGATTTTGCATAATGTGTCCTCTTTAAAAGAAGATGCAACCGTAACAAACGATCCAAATGTTTTGAAAGGTGAACAAAGAGAACTGAGTTGCAGATATTTGTGAGCCGTGACGGCGACAGTTGTACACAAGCGACGGTCAGTCAGTCRTCCTTAGTGACATACAACTGCACTATGACCGTACCGCCTGACTAACAGTTCAAAACATTGGTTCTTTTGAAAAGAACTGATCCTCAAGACCCAGTTCCCTTCAAAGAGCCAAAAATCCCAAGTCTCCTTTAGGTTTAATTCACCAGTTCCTGGGATAAAATTACCAGCAGCRTCTTGTCRTTTTGTTTTTTCCTGCCGGCGTTTCACAGCAGTTTCATGTTGGTCGTTTTCTGTATGTTTTATGGCGGTGACCTTATTTCCCACTGAACCGCCTCACATAACACACTTTACTGCTCTCGCCGCTGTAATACCAGAGCTGCTGAATCCATGATTCTTCCCTGTGTTCAGCACTCAGTGATAAATGTAGGATMTTTTGTTGTTGTTGTTCTCCACTTCGCTTTGATGTGCCGCTTCTTCGACCTCCTTTGAAGCAAAACTCTTCTCCTTGTCAGGTGATCCATGTGACGGGACGAATCCGTTGCCGCCCTGCACTTGTTCCAGGATCCACGCGCTCGGTCCGTCGTCCGATGGGCTTGGTCGCTCTGGCGCACACACTCCCACCCTCCACGCTCAACGAAGTCCGCATGGAAAGCCACATGTTTGTGTTCCGAGTCAACATGGACCTGCAGGTCACATATTGTGAGAACAGGTAAAAGGGTTTTTATGTGTGGATAATACGTGTCGCAACACATTTATTTATTTATTTATTTTTTTAGAACATGTAAATTTATGTTTTGTGTTTTTTTGGAGTGCTCCCACATTCATGTTTTTTCATGAGCGGCTGGCGGAGCACCCGGCCAGCTGGTGGTTTTAGAAAATACATCTGCTTCTGTTTAGTTGACAAATGAGGTTTTTTTTTCCCCTCTTTTTTTCCTCCTGCATTGCTCCACAGGATCTCAGAGTATATGGATTTAACCCCGGCAGAGGTGGTGGGACACACCTGTTATCATTTCATCCATGTAGAAGACCTGGAAAATATCCGGCAGAGCCATGAAGACTGTGAGTCACATCTATGTGCACATGTAGTCCRTCTAAACCCCCCACTTTATCTTCACAGTATCTGAACTTGGGAGGCTTGGAGAGTGTGATAAAACCTTACGTTGTCCCATTGTGATAGGCGCCCTCTTCTGCCACAATCATGAACTGCCAAACTTACAGCAGGCCTGACTTCCTGTTTCTCCCTGTTAGTGCTGAGGAAAGGACAGGTGGTGACAGGTTACTATCGTTGGCTTCAGAGGAGAGGGGGATACCTGTGGATCCAGTCCACTGCCACGGTCTCCATCAACCACAAAGCTCCCCATGAACGAAACGTCATCTGGGTGAACTATGTCCTGAGGTGAGTTCCCAGTTTATAAACACACAGGCAACATAGTGCCAAGAGATAGGCATTGCCCTACTACGTCTGTGGGGCACCGCCATCTTTTTATGGTGTTGTGCTGTTACGCAGGACTTGCTTCCTCCGACCTTTGATGACCTCTAAATCCTGAATGGGTGGTCCGATTTAAAAAAAACAATTGTTTTGGAATCAGCCTTTTAATTAAAAAGAGGAAAAACAGCTGTAGAATACCTCTGAAAGTGTTATCAAAGAGCATACAAGGGATATTTCAAAGTGTGTTTATTTCAGTAATACCTGGTCAAGTGTGATTTCAGTCATAGAAAAAGGGGTAAGTTAGAGGAAGAAGTCCCCTCCACAGACATCACACTGACAGACCTCTTAAAGCARGGGTCTGCAACCTGTGGCTCTGGGGCCACAWGKGGCTCTTTGGTCCCTCTGCAGTGGATCTTTGAAAATGAGACCAAACATAACAGAATAATCTTTTTGGTTTTTATACCCACAACAGAAATCAATGTGAATGCAAACGTGATCAATACTACTAATACAAAAMGTAAAACATGTTCGTTTATGCTAGCCTGTTGTTTACTTAAGTAATCCAACTTCTTTCTATTGCGCTCTCAAATCCATCAGAATTACTTTTAAAGAATTTGCAGACTACATATAGTATAAACTATTTTTACACAAATTTTACACAAATCTGGTCTTTTCATTTGTCCTGATGTGTAAAAATAATAATAAATAATAACATTTTCAATATATTTTTTAGTTTTATAATGTCACCTCCACTGGCCGTAAAGATTACTGAAAAGACCCCGAAAAGGCCCACAGACCACCAGTTGATAATCAGAGTCATAGCTTGATTTGTGGCTCTGGGCACATTTTATTAGTGAGCCAAGTGGCAGAAATGGCTCTTTTGGTTGCAAAGGTTGCAGAGCCCTGTCTTAAAGAGTTGTCATGGAAATATTTATTTAACAAAGACAGAAATACRTGGTGCAAGAATGAAGGCACACCGTGGAATGATCAGCTGAGTTTTATTTGCAACGACAAGAACACAGAGAACAAGATCAGACTGTCCCCCTTCTCTCTGCTTCTGCTTCCCCCTACTCTGAGGCAGTTGAGGCCTCATATACAGCGGGTAAAATAAGTATTGAACACGTCAACATTTTTCTCAGTAAATATATTACTAGAGGTGCTAATGACATGAAATTTTCACCAGATGTCGGTAACAACCCAAGTGATCCATACATACAAAGAAATCAAACCATAAATGTCCARAAATGAAGTTATTTGTAATAATGTGGAATGGCACAGGGAAAAAGTATTGAACACATGAAGAAAGGGAGGTGTAAAAAGGCATGGAAAGACAAGACACCAGCTGAACTCTCTCAGTAATTAGAAAGCAAGCCTGCCCCTTGTCAATGCAAGTTAATATCAGCTGGTTCAGTCCCAAATGATGGCCAGGTATCACACAAGAACCATCTGATGATGGGTAAAAGTAAAGAGCTCTCTCAAGACCTTCACAACCTTATTGTTGCAAAGCATAATGATGGCATCGGTTACAGAAGAATGTCTAAACTTCTGAAGGTTCCAGTGAGCACTGTTGGGGCCATAATTCAGAAGTGGAAAGAACATCATTTCACCATAAACYGACCACGACCAGGTGCTCCTCACAAGATTTCTGACAGAGGAGTGAAAAGAATTATCAGAAGAGTTGTCCAAGAGCCAAGGACCACTTGTGGAGAGCTTCAGAAAGATCTGGAATTAGCAGGTACGTTTGTTTCAAAGAAAACAATAAGTAMTGCACTGAACCACCATGGCCTGTATGCACGCTCACCACGCAAGACTCCACTGCTGAAGAAACAGCATGTTGAAGCTCSTTTAAAGTTTGCTGCWCAACATTTAAACAAGCCTGTGTAATACTGGGAGAATATAGTCTGGTCAGATGAGACCAACATTGAACTGTTTGGATGCCAGAATACACATCATGTTTGGAGGTCAAATGTCACTGCACATCAGCCCAAAAACACCATACCAACAGTGAAGTTTGGAGGTGGGAACATCATGGTGTGGGGCTGTTTTTCAGCATATGGTACTGGCAAACTTCAAATAATTGAAGGAAGGATGAGTGGAAAAATGTACAGAGACATTCTTGATAAAAATCTGCTTCCATCTACCAGGATGATGAAGATGAAACGTGGCTGGACACTTCAGCAAGACAATGAGCCCAAACACAAAGTCAAGGAAACTCTCAGTTGGTTTCAGAGAAAGAAACTAAAGCTGCTGGAATGGCCCAGCCAATCACCTGACCTGAATCCAACAGAAAATCTATGGAAAGAACTAAAGATCAGAGTTCATAGAAGAGGTCCACGAAACCTTCAAGATTTGAAGACTGTTTGTGGAAGAATGGACCAAAATCACACCTGAGCAATGCATGCCACTAGTTTCTCCATACAGGAGGCATCTTGAAGCTGTCATTGACAACAAAGACTTTTGTACAAAGTATTAGATAAATTTCAGTAAGTGTGTTCAATACTTTTTCCCTGTGCCATTCCACATTATTACAAATAACTTCATTTCTGGACATTTATGGTTTGATTTCTTTGTATGTATGGATCACTTGGGTTGTTACCAACAACTGGTGAAAATTTCATGTCATTAGCACCTCTAGTAATATATTTACTGAGAAAAATGGTGACATGTTCAATACTTATTTTACCCGCTTTATACTGTTTAACAAACACTATTATGTCATCTTAATAAAGCAAGATTAAATACTAAGGAAATTCTAGGTCAAGGGAAAACACAAAGATAAACACAAGTGATATCTAAGAATGATTGTTGTTCGCAAATCTTGTTCTGACTTTAATCATTCTATCTGCTGATAAACARCATSTCATGAAAACTTAGGTCATTAAAGTATGTCATGAATTACTGGCTTAAACCTAAAAGTAGTGTATCCATTACAGAGTCTTTTAAGGCAAATAATACAACTCTTGCTCAAATATACTAGTCCTTTTAGTGTGAAATAATGCTGTATTAGCAACAATTGAATCTTCTCACCCCAAGCTGAACCCAAGATGAAGGAAATAAAAAGCTCTTTCTTAAAACAGTTCTGCAAAAAGGCCACAGAGCAGTCCATCTTTAGGCTTCTTCTGGCCGTTCATAAATCACAGATGGAACCAGCCATGTGTGAGTTTCCAAAAATAAAGAGAGCATCACCAAAAGAGGCATAGAGCAAAAATCAGAGAGGTTAACGTGGAGCCGCGGCACTAGTTYAACTTTTTCTAAGTAGACTATTTCGGCTCTGTTTCTACACATAAAGGCACACAAGAGGTGGGTCGGTTTGGACCTCTTGCCACCTCCGCCCTTTCAGAAGGAAGTCCCAGACTGAGGTGTCATTCACCAAAACAGACGTGTCCTGTTTTGGTTAATCCTGTTAGTAAGGGATCTTTATTTTCTTTTGTTTTCACCAGTTCAGTGGATTAATGTAGAAGATAATGCGTGTACACCAACAGTAAAGCTGAGCTCACCCATGACCATAGCTTACATTGAATTTTATTTTTAGCTGGACTTGAATATTTGAAAATCACAGCCCTGCTTGTCAGTAYGTTTACTGAACTCCTGTTGCTCTTGGAATAAGCCCAGCAGACTGATGAGAGACTTTGATCAGGCGGACTGATACTAACATCAGCACATCTACATTACCGCAGAGCTAAATGGTGATCTATCTTATAGCATATTTGGATATTTAAGCAGCAGTAGTAATAGTAGTTGCATGTCTTTGATTTTGGTAATAAAAAAGTTGGATCAAAAACTTAAAAWTTTTTTGCTTTAAAACTATGAGACCGTGGTACTTCTGATCACAGTAATCATCCTGTAAGAATCTCCAAACAGCTCATTCCTAAAGTGGATGAACGGTGAAATCTTGTTGGGATTATTGAGATTTTCAAAGTGAAGAAACCTGACAAAGATCAAAACATCAAAGCACYTTCACCCGTTAATATCAAAATCTGAAGTATGCCACGTACATTTAAAGCAACTTCATAACAAAAGTACATTTCAGGGACTTCCGCGTTTCCAAGTCTTCAAACTATTAAAATAATTTCTCAAGTTTCTACCTGGGCGGCCTCAAAATATTGGTGCTTTAAAATACTTTGTAAAGTATTTATCAACATTAGCATGCTGCAAAGGAACAATCTCTTATTGTTATTCAGTCTTGTTGCTCTTGAATTAGTGGCTATGATCTTATTGAAAAGGCTTTTAGGCTGAAATGGGACGTTTCTTCACCTTGGTTTAAATATAAATTAGCCTTTAAATTTAATATTATTCACGGTTATGTTTTCGACGTGCGCACGCTGCATACACATCTACGCACAACAGAATGCTCAAATACGGCGTAGACAGACAAAAGCAAGAGGAGTAGGCTGAATTTCAATGCTAATTAGACTGAAGCTATATAATTAGTACAAATGGATGTCAGAATTTTAGGTCTGAATGGTGTTTTAGTTAATTAGTGCTGTAATTACAAGAACTCATTAACTTCTTGAACAGCCTCCTCCTTGTCTGAGATTAACTTTGTATAGGTGGGCTGCTAAGTGGGATACGGCGTGTGTGTGTGTTTTAATTTGAATGGTTGTGTGTGTGTTAGGCAGAGGTTAGAAGGGAGTACTATGGGAGGTTGTTATTAGGCTGATTATATGTTGTTTCTAACTCTAAGTATTCACTCAAACAGCACAGCACTACGGTTTTATTCTATGTAAGTGGCTTTAAGTGGTTGATGATCATTTGTGCATTTATTTCCCCCCTTTCTGTCRTTTTGATTTTCACATCTGTCCTTCCAGTCGAACCGAGCTGCCCGACACCCCTCTGGATCTGCTGCAGCTCCCAGAAAGCATAAGAGCGGAGCGGCTCCGAGTTAGCTCGCCTCCCACCGACTCCTCGGCCCAAGCTCGAGGTAAAGCGCACGCAGCGTCTGCTTGACAAACATCTGCATGCGCCCTCGTCTTATTAGTCTAATCTTCCTTTCCTCCTCAGCCCAACAGTCGGCGAAGAGCTCAGTGGGGAAGAGTGAGCCTGACGCGAAAGGAAGAGAGAAATTCACAGCCCCTGCCGTCCAGTCAGAGGACAGGAGGAAGCGCATGCTGAGGTCTGACCCCGAGGGCGCGCCTCCAGAGAGCCGACGCCGTCTGGATGAGCTCCGGCGCACAGAGGAGGCCGTGTCCACTTCCTCAGATCTGGCGAGCGAAAGCGAGGACGAGGAGGAAGAGACGGAGTGGGACCAGGGGGGGGACGGCAACAGACTGAAGCAAGAAGACGGCAGGGAGGGAGGGAAGCAGGGCCGAGGAGGAGACGCCACCCAGACCCGAGGGGACAGGGCAGGGAGGGTGCACAATGGCCGGGCGGTGATCCAGCAGCTGAAGAGTGTGGTGACCCAGTCTTCGTTGCCCGGAAGTCCCAGCATCAAGACTGAACACGAAGGCCTGACCGCCGGGGGGCGCTGGGGGTCTCACACACAGACCTCCACCCAGCACACACACACCTCTCAGCCCCAACCTCCGACCCATGYGCACACACCGTCCAGCAGCCTGAACGGCGACAGCCCCACCACCCCGATCCCGGACTCTTCGTCCAGCAGCGACGCCCCGGCTAAAGGCCTGTTCACCCCTCCCTCCCCGGCCTTGTCCCCGGCCATGTCCGTGTCCTCCCCGCAGCCCCGCGAGGACCGGGCGGGGGGTCGCGCCGGTGGAGGTAACGGCCCTGATTTCGAGCTGCTGCAGAGACTGGCGGGCGGGGCAGCGGGGCGAGTCCTCTTCCACCCGCTGGCCCTCGGCCCGCAGGGCCCTCAGAGCCTGTACGCCCCGAGCACCATCCGATACGCTCCGCCTGAGCTGCCCCCCTCCCACCACCACGGCACGGGCCATGGCGACGGCCTGCAGCTACGCTCGGACCACCACAAGGGTCCCCCGCCGACCTTCTTCCCCCACCTGCAGCGGCTGGCCGGCCTGCCACCCTTCAGCGGTTTCTCCCCGTCTGACAGCCCTTTCTCCTCCGGCCTGCCGTTCTGTATGAACGGACTGAGGGGGGCCGCAGGCTCGGAGGAGGACTGAACCTCACGCTGGGGAGAACACGAGGGGAGGAAGAAAAAAAAGGACAAATGCTATGAAGTGACAAAACAGATAGAGAGACGTTGAAAAGGGCAAGGAAGACAGAAAAGGCCAGGACGTTAAGCCTCTAAGGAGTGAATAATTGGACGATGAGTTAAATAACCACAATCTGAAAGTGCGTGACACATCGCTGCCAGAAGAACTTCCTGTGGACAAGTGTCAACAACTCTCAGAGAAAAACGGACGCGGAAACTTTTGACTGGTTGTCCCCGAAGACTCTCGGTCTCCACAACAATAATGAACTCTGCTCTGTCTTTCTCTAGATGACGGTGTTTGATTCGTGTGTCTCTCCCACTCAGAGAAGCCATATTGTAAATAACAACAAACAAAACCATACAAACCCTCAGCTTCCATTCATCTTCACTCCAATTAACCTAATTAACCCCCTCAAAGCAAGTATTCAGAGATGGACACCTGTCTGTAGAGATGTAAAATAACGTTTTTTTTATTTTTATTTTATTTTTAAATCAGTGCAGTGTTACACAAATCCTCTCTTACACTGGGCTCCAGGTGAGAATCTGAAGATGGAGACCACCTTTTTTTGGTGTTTTGTATTAAGTCTCGAAAAGATAATAGAATAAAATTTTTAAAAAGTCATCAGTCAGCCATATTTAAAGCACACTGTTGGGATTAAGGTAAGAGTATTGTAGTCCCAGACATTCCAGTATAAAAGGGAAGTAAATGCAATGCAGACAGGATGTTATTTCTGTTGGAGTATGGGGAGGGGTGGGGGTATTTGTCTGTTCAAAGTGTTAATTATAGTTTATTCTTTATAATGCAACAGTTGTGTTTTTGTAAGAAAGCCATAATATTGTTTTTTTTCTTCTATAAGCTAAAATCCATAATCAGCACGTCTTCATGTCTGAACAGACACGGTTAGAGGTTTTATTGGAAGCTCATTGTTCTCTTTAAAAAATGCTTCTGAAATGTTTTCAGAGGAAATGGTGCAGAAGTGTTTTTGTCACCTGGACCTTTGTGTGTTTTTATTTTTATGAGCACTTACTGAAATTTGTTCTGCTGTGAACTCAAAGCACTTCGTGACTCAGATTGTTTGATCCTGTTAAAACAGAAAACAACACAAGTGGTCACTAATATTATTGTCTGACCACAGAGGCACTGGAGAGAGGTGGGGATTGAGAGACGTACATGTAAAAATTAAAATAAAAACAGGTCATTGAACTAAAATATGACCGTCGGAGGTCAATAAAACAACGCAGACGTTTCAGTTACTGAACGTAAAAACAAGGTTTTAAATAATAAAATAATGAATTGAACTGGTTAGTTATTTAAAATTCATCTCATAGGTGAAGAAAATAAAAAAAACATTTTCTACTTTTAAATTTGTGCAAATGAGAGATATTCAAAAGCTGAAAGTGTTCATTCCAAAACAGAATACAAAATCAGAAAATGTGACCTTATTTTTAAATGAATCATGGCATTAATGCAGCCAAACAGGCATTAGGAATGTTTGACAGTAATTAAAGATAAAAAAAAAAGAATATAAACAATTTTCTAGCACTTTGGAATAAAGACTTTTAAATCAATCTGTAAAATAGCTCAAACATTTTTTTTTGTAATATGTGTTTATGGCACTTTTTGCCTCTAAATTGAGATTATGGTCAGTTTGAGCTAAATATTCGGTTTACGTAGAAGCCCGATGTTCGTGTTCTGATGTCTTGATGGGAGGAAAAAAGGAGGGAAAAAATGAAATCTGGTGTGTGCAATACACTCATCATGTAGCTGTCACAAATAGCAAGTGTGTGAGCACACGCACACTCGGGTGTTTACTGGTACAAAACGTGCGGATGAATGTGAGAGTGTGCGTTTGCTCGTGTGTGTTCGTGTGTGAATGTCTTTTGTTTAGTCTTTTGTTCTTGTTGTTGAATAAAACGGCTAACCATTTGCCCATCACTGTGAATCTAACATGATCCTCCCATGTTTGTGAATAGTTCACCCAGCCATCAAAGAAAATGAACAAATGTACAGAAAATAAAAAATTAAAATGCAGATGATGATAACAATAAAATATTCCAGTAGAGGAGCACAACTCAAGCTTTTGTTGTTTCTTTTCTTAATAGGCTTAAAATGTTTAATTTCATTGTTATATTGGTCAATAACAAAGTGTTTAAAGAGATGGTTCAGATATTGTAAAGTGGGGTTCTGTGGAAAAACTATAATCAACATCTTACTTGTTGTCAGACCCAGAAAGATCTTTTTTTTCCCTGCTGAAAGTTCCCCAAGCTGCACTTGAAATGCTAAAGCTAACTGCTGCTGCTTTTTGTGCCTACAAATAATCAAAACCTTTTCCACAATATGGAGCAGCAGCAGGTTTTTAGTAACACAATATGAACAGTCCGCCCCATGTTATCTCCTTACTGTGCTTACTGTGCGGATCGYAAAGGACAGATTGACTGAGTGCATCATGGATTCACGGCTGAGATTTGTTTCCACCAGTCGYTGGAGGAGAGTTTGCTGTAGCCAGYGTTGCCTCGATCMRCATTTTCTCTTTCCTCGTTCTCCGATTTTTCAGGTGATCAACAAGTTCGAAGTGTTAGCGTTAGCTATTCTGTGCCTCCTTCTGCCATCATGCTTGCATCATCACATGGCACTATTTGCCATAATTGCGAAGTGGCAAATAATATTGGGTGACTGATTCTCTGATGATGAATTGCACATGGTACGATTTTGCCCAACCCTAGCTCAAAGTATCTATTAAGGCTTGCTTATGCATGCTTCATCCAAATTGCCAAAATCTCTTTGTTGCAGTTGCATGACGAAAATAGTGGCACAATAATCTCAGAAATGGAGATTTTTTTAAATAGGTTTTGTGCAGAGGAATCAGTCTGCAAAAGAGCTTTAACCAGGACAGATTTGTAGACAAATAACAGCTAATCTGAGATTTATTTTTTCCTGAGTGTGGACTCAGTATGGTCGTGTTCACACCTGCACTGTTTAGTCTGATTTAATCGAACTCTAGTTCGTTTGCCTGGAAAGTCAGGTTCATTTGTGGAGGTGTGAATGCGTAATCGAACTCTGATTCGGACCAAAAAAGCGAACTCTRGTCCGCCTGAAAACCTAGGTCTCGGTTCGATTGAAACGAACTCTGGTGCGGTTCGATTGCATGTGTGAACGCTAAGTGGACCAGAGACCGCTCCAAAAGCAGGAAGCGGACTATACCGCATGACATTCTGAGTAATAACAGTATTAAATTTACTTATATGGTGTAAATACCTCGCTGGACGATTGTATAAGGTTGACATCATGACTGTGGAGCTRGATGCGCTCCTACTCGATTAACATGGAGCTTCCTCAGCTGCCTTGTGTGTAAAACAACATTCTCCRTGGTTCYGMCTCATCTTCCTCTCATGCTGAGCTCATTGTTGAAGACTATTTGTTTAGCACATTTGCCAAATATAAAAAATAAACCCTATAACCACTAAAATGTAATGTTACTATTGTTTGTTTACATTTTGTGAAGAAGAAAGTTGCGCTCCATGTCTTCTTCTGTGGTTTTCATGTTGATTCCTTTAGTGGTTCTTTGTGCAGCGCCCCCACAGGTGAGGGCGGGAACAGGTTGTTTACAGTGTTTAGTTCGGTTGAGAAAGTGCAGTATGAATTCAAACCGCACCAACAGAAAATGTAAACAAAGCTTGCAGTTTTGGACCCCAATCGAACCGAGTCTACYGGACTATCAGGTGTGAATACGACCTAAGTCTCAGGAGCTATAAAAGGTGTGCACAACCACATGACCGCGTGTCGACTGTTCGGCTTCGGATGGAATACGTGGAGGCTACAGCTTGTTATTCTGGTCAGATTTAAACTTATTTCTTCAAACTGAAATTGTTCAAAAATCTTTCCACAGCAGGTAAGATATTGATCATTTATAACTATTCTACACGATTCTTCTTCAAAAGATTGTAACCTTCACCTGTCACGACTAACAGACATGCAGAAAAGAGTAACAAACGTGTTTTTTTAAATCATTAACAGAGCCAGTGGACAAACTTTCATTATCCTGAAGTGGACAATATTAATCGTTAATTTAAAGGAGCGGGTGGGATCAGTTTGGCAGGACAGCCCTTGAGCGTTAGAAACTTGACCGTAAACTGGTCTGAAACGAACACAAAAGCAAAGAGCTCATGGAGAGCGCCTCACTTATACAAAGCGATATATGCGGGCACGTGTCACAACGTGTGTATGTGTGTGTGAAATCTGTGTGTGTGTGTGTGTTGTCTGAAGCAGCCCCAGGGAGGGGCTCTGACATTGAAGACGGGTTAAATCCTGTTTTACATTCAAGTGGCAGGCCCCAGTTCATTAGAGTGAGGATCATTCCTCCTCAAGACCAAAGGAAGCGCATACTAAACAAGAGCAGTTGTTGGGGAGAAAATGCCATTGTACGTGCAAAACCTAATGCACTGTATGAGAGGATGTGTGTGTGTCGGTGTGTAGGCAGTGCTGCAAAAYAACCTTTCTTCTTTAACTTACATCTTGATATAGCGAGGTAAAGGTGTGGCTTGGGCTACAGAAACCATTGTGCTCTTGTTTGTGTGTGCATGAGACATGGCAGCCTTTCTGACTCGTCTTCCGCTCAGTCTGTCATCGAGTCACCCGTACGCCCTCTCTGTCACTAACTTTGATGGCTTATCTTACCCCCAGAATTAGAGTCGTGCTCCCGGGGGAAATACCTCGGCACATGTAAATGCGTCCGCGACCGTGGAACTATGAGAGGGAATAATACGGTGAGGGATGAAGAGAGGTATGTGTCGGCAATTTCTCTCTCTTTGGCATTCTTCTTCTGCTTGTGCGGTTTCCCGTCTTCGTCGCTGTTTTCGAGCGAACTCTTTCTCCTCTCAGCCAGGAGAAGGCCAATCCATACTTAATGACGTCTCAAAGGCAGATCCTTTGATCCGTGCGGATGGCATTTAACACCTGAGAGCCGATGAGCCCCGCCGCGTTGGGGAACGAGCACAGGTTACGAACCCAACTTTCGTGGGCTGAGGGTGGAGATGGGAAATCGGGGCTTGGAAATGCATGAGGGCTGGACCGAGGTTGTGGGTCCTATAGCTGCTCGTGGTGTCGGGGGTGGATGGTGTTTGTCAGGGAGGCCGCGTCTCCTGCCTTTGGGCACCCTGCCCTTTAGACGCGCCAGGCCTCAGGAGCCTCCTGCATGCCAAGCAGAACCTGTGCAGTCAGATGGAGAGGAGACAAGGAGGAGGAAGGAGGGGAGGACAAGCGAACGTGAGGAGAAGGCCCGAAAGAGAAGACTCTAGGGGTTGGCAAAAAAAAAAAAAGGTGGAAGAGGATCTGACGAGGTGGTGGTGGGATGCTGGTCACACCGCCTTCTACGGTCACAGCTTGAATGTGAAGCACAACGAAACGCCTTGAGAGTCGACGGAGGAGAGGCTGGAGGAAGCAGAGGAGAGGGGAGGAAGACAGGGTGCCTCTGGGGTGAGGCTCCACAGCAACGCTGCGTGTCGATGGCTGCGAGATATCACAGCCCTTCGCCCTAACCTAGTCAGAGATAGTTATCACAGACAAAGCCTCCCCCTCTTCATCACCAACACTCGTACACACATACACACACACACACACACACACACCCTCACACAGCAGCCGCATACTGCTCACTTCAACTCAAACCAGCACACGGACGCCTCATTATAAGAATTATTCATGTTCAAAAAGCAGTTTGTACATCTTTTGACTTCCATTGGGAGGAACTACTGATGCTTCACTTTACATCTGAGCTGGTTGGCATAAACCAGAATGAAAAAAAAAAAACTATGAAAACATCTCATGAGAAATTGATTCAAACAGAGGTGTTTTTTATATAGTTTGCTTATTTTTTGCTTCTAGTTTTTAGGGGAGTAAATCACAAGCTTTATCACGATACGATGCTTTATTGGTTTGTTTGGATGACGACACAGTTCTCAATATCACAAARTCTGTTGAGACGATTTTGATCCAATACAGAAGTCTGAGATTGATATGATGCGACATCATGCCCATTGAACACAATCATGGGTGACCTGGATTGATGTTTTYGTTTTTCCTCCATGTAATTGAATCATTTAATCCAGTGGTCTGCAATGATGGTGTCTGCAAGGGAGTTGCAAAATTTGCAGATAGATATATTGAATACTTGTTTTCACAGTTAAACACACACTACCATGATTCCAACATGTAGCAAATTGATAAAGTGAGGCATAAAATAATGGATTCCTGTCACGAGTATGCACACCACAAGCTGAATTCTGCTTCACTCACTGCCCGACTCCATGAATTCTGCACACAACCTGTAACTGGCCAAAGAATTTTTGCAATATTTCTACAACAATGCTGCCCCTAACGGTGTCAACTGTCAAAAGTCATTGTCACTGAGGGCCACATGAGCATTATGGTGGCCCTCAGTTGTGATAAACTTTGACATTTCATGTTTAACTTTGACTAAACATCCCTCATCTCATTACGGTTGAGCACCGCTAACACTAACAGAGCTCTACGTGGTATTTCTTGCAAAGAAACAGTGCTTTAACACGCTCTCTCATAAACACTGAAAAGTACTACATGTACGACAGACAAGATGTGCAATAAATAATACAGAAATAGTGAAGTTTTGCTCACTGTTGTGGTGAATTTCCATGTATAAACATGCATTATGGGAGATGGAGTTCATGGTTAATGCTAGCTTTAAAACAGCTTATTTTGTGACATTAATACAGAGCTGTTTGACTAAATGATTTATAGGACCAGTTACTCAAAGCTAACAGCTCAGGGATTATACAAGTATCTTTTACATTTAAAATGTTGATTTTTTTTTGCATTTAATAATAAATTTAATATTTGCTATTGATATA